CTTAGTAATGGCCCCAAAGCACAAAAGCAGTGATGGTAGCAATTTGGACAAGCCAAAGAAAGTCATAAAACGCTTTCTTTGAGTAAAAAGGTAAATCTTTTTTAACAGGGAAAAACAAACCCCATGCTGAGGTTAAGAACTATGGTATAATAAGATGTTCTAAGAAACCAAATTCATGTAATTTTTATTATAGGGTATTCTTACTATACTTCTATTGTTAGCCTCTTACTGTGCCTAATTTATAAATTTACCACAGGCATGGATATACAAAACACAGTACATTTTAACAAAGGTTTCAATACTGCAGATATTTCACTGACGTATTTATTTGAAAACTACCATAAGTGGGGCCTGGCGCAGTGGTCCAGCAACTAAAGCCTTCAATTGAATGCACTGGAATCCCATATAGGCTCTGGTTCTAATCCTGGAAGCTCCCTTCCCATCCAGCTCCCTGCCTGTGACCTGGGAAAGCAGTCGAGGATGATCCAAAGCCTTGGGACCCTGTACCCGCGTGGGATACCTGGAAGAGTTCCTGGCTCCTGGCTTTGAATTGGCATAGCACCAGCCGTTGCGGTCACTTGGGGAGTGAATCATCGGACGGAAGATCTTTCTCTCTCTCCTCCTCTCTGTATATCTGACTTTGCAATAAAAATAAATAAACATTTTTTAAAAGCTACCATAAGTGATAGATTTATTGATTACTTTAAGTTTGTATAGCTATATAGGATGGTGGGACACATAGGTTAATGTAATTTTTTACTTTAAGTAATCTGATTTCAGCTCCCACCATTTTACTTACATCATTCAGAAGTCTGTACAACGATATCCAATTTGCCAAATTCCATTGATTTTTCCCACAATCCAGAGCATCACTGGTCATCCCTTTATCCTGATATTTTATGTTACGTGACTCCTGAGCCATCCCTGAGCTCTGAGACATATTCCTATTTCCTCTCCATGTCTTTTTCAAGCCCCTTTAGCTTCTTCCAAGTTGTAAAGCAAATACATCCCCTATGTAGTAGATTTTAAAACCTCTCTGAGTGCACGTCCAACGTGACAGGGGACTATCACAGACTGTGAAAACAAAACGACCTCTAGAGGGGTCTAGCCAAACAGGCTGTAGAAAGAACCAAAGAACCAAAAGAACCAAAGACAAGTGCGACTCCAGGTGTGTAGAGAACACCAAAATACCAACCTTAGGATAAGGTGAAATATAGAGAACCAAAGGTTACCAACGGGGAAGGAGCTAAAACAAGGCAGGAGAGTTCTTGCCACACGCTGTGAAGGCAGCTCAACTTGTCTGTCACTGGCCAACATGGGTCATCATACTGGCTCAGGAGTGAAGAAAAAAACAAAAGGCAAAATGAAATAGGGTACTTAATTGATAATGAACATAAATCCCAGTAGTTCCAAGAAGTCGAAACAGATTATACGAGCACCCACTTATTAGGGCAACTGAGTCTTAACTGAAACAATGTATGCAAAGAATGAAGCCCAGGATTCAGCACATGGCATATACTAGCAACTGTTATCACTGTATTTCTCAAACTGTGTAACACAGATAAAACTTAAGTCAACATTAAGATATGTATTAAACTATATATATATATTTCTTCAACCACTTGGCATATTAAAAGTATCCTAGTTTTAATGCATAATACATCTTTTAAAATAGGATAGAATTGTGGGTGTGCATATTTTTTGAAATCAGGTGACTTTTCCTTCATCCTACTAAAACAACTGCCTTTCTCAGGACTTCAGGATTCCTCTTAGCTACTCATCAAACTACTTTCCGAGCTCTCAAAACTCTCTTCTTCTCTGGACTCCTAAGGCATCACTTTTACTGGGATTCTCCCCTTTGTGGGCCACTTCTTCATTCCCAAGGCAGACTCAACTTCTGGTTACCCCGGATTTTCAGCTTTTTTTCTATATATTCTTCCACTCCCAAGACTTATCTAATGTGTGACACTACCATAATTTGTCACCATGATCCCCTCTGACTTAATTCCAATAGCTTAACTGGCTTCATGCTTTATCCCGGTTCTAGTGTAGCCCTCATGCTGCTACTAGATTTTTTTATTTTCCTGTGCCAAAGGTTGGAGCAGGTCCTGTGACATAATGGATGAAGCTATCGCTTTGGATGCTGGCATCCCATACGGGTACTAGTTTGTATCCTAGCTGTTCCACTTCTGATTTAGCTCCCTGCAAAGGCACCTGGGAAAGCAGCAGATGGTGGCCCAAGTATCTGGGCCCTCACTCCCACGTGGCAGACCCATGTGAAGCTCCTGGTTCCTGGCTCCAGCCTGACCCCACCTTGGCTGTTGTACCACTTGGGGAGTGAACGCAGGGAGCACAATTACTCTCTATAACAGCTTTTCAATTATATCAGTAAGTATATCTTTCTAAAACTGCTCAATGCTTGTAAAAAGACCTCTATTAGGCCCTACTGCCTGCAAGAAAACATTACAATTCTCAGCTTATCATATAAAACCCTTCATTTTTGCCTCAATCAACCCTCTCAACTTTATCTCTTCTTTTTGTAAAGTATTTATTTATTTATTTTTTAAACTATTGATGCGCCTGTTCACAGCAGTCACGGACCTGATTTGGTAATCTTTAAGGTGGTCTTTTTTTCCATAAAGCCTTCTCCTTTTATTATTTTTTTGAAGACTTATTTATTTTTATTGCAAAGTCAAATATATAGAGGAGAGACAGAGAAAAATATCTTCCGTCCAATGATTCACTCCCCAAGTGATCACAGTGGCTGGTGCTGTGCTGATCTGAAGCCAGGATCCAGGAACTTCCTCCAGGTTTCCCACATGGGTTCAGGGTCCCAAGGCTTTGGGCTGTCATCGACTGTTTCCCAGGCCACAGGCAGGGAGCTGGATGGGAAGTGGAGCTGCCAGGATTAGAACCGGCACCCAGATAGGATCCTGGCACATTCAAGGCCAGGACTTTAGCTGCTAGGCCACAGTACTGGGCCCAATTTATTCATTTTTTATTAGAACGTCAAGTACACAGAGAGGAAGAGATACAGAAAGATCTTCTGCATCCACTGATTTACTCCTCAAGTGGCTGCAATGGCCAGAACTGAACTACTCTGAAGCCAGGAGCCAGAAACTTCTTTCAGATTTCCCATGCGGGTGCAGGGTCCGAAGGCTTTGGGGTGTCTTCTACTGTTTTCCCAGACCACAAGGAGGGAGCTCTATGGAAAGTGGGGCCATTGGGATTAAAACCGGCGCCCATATGGAATCTTGGCATGTGCAAGATGAGGACTTTAGCCATTAGGCTACCGCATCGGGTCCAACTTTATATTTTCTTAATCCTTCTGCTCACCCAGGACTACAACACGGCAATGCTTTCTTTTGCAAATCCCCACCTTCCCACTCTTCCTCTTCTCGGAATACCTTTTTTCTGTTTCAAAAATGCTTGTATTCTCAACCAAGCAGTCACCACCTACCGCACCTTAAGTATCTGTTTACATGTTTATTTCTCCAGGAAAATATCCTTTTCTTCTATATAGTTCCAGAAACTAGTGTCAAACGCTCAGCAAATACTCACTGACCTAACTGTGAGCAATCACTGCAAGTCTTTGTGTTGCCATTTAAAAAATTCCTCCTTAGGTGAAATTCATCGAAAGGGAAAAGATGTCAAAGGAACACCTGAGCTCAAATCTCAAGGAAAATAGGGATATTCCAGAGCACAATATATAAAAGCAGAGCAGAATATCTGATAGCTAGATTCTCCCCCACTTGGTTGCACGCCATGGCAGTACAAAGAACATAGCTTTTTCACTTCTCTGGACTCCCTTAGTGGCGTTTAATGGCTTCACCTTTCATCTGGCAACCCCGGCCTGTGTAACAAACTTGGGCTATGTCAGCTTTACTGACTGAACGCAAGTTCACCAGGCCTTGCATATCTGCCCTGACATTCTCTTTCATTGCCCCCAGCTGCTTCTCTTTCTTCCTCTGGGTTAGCAGCCCAAGGATTCCTTGAATTGCCTCCATTCTACGGCAGCTGAGCATTCGAGCCATTTATCATAATATATTTGGTATTATCACAGATTGTGGCTTGGGCTGGGCCTCTGGGGGTCTTTATTTAACCGTTTTAGGTCTTGGTTTCCTTGCTTACACCATGGGGTTTAAGAGGACTAATACCTGCTTCTGAAAAAATGAGAGACGATTCCTGTTAAGTACTGACATGTACTTGTCAGTCAAGATTACACTCACTCAGGGACTGGTATCCTGACTCAACTGGCTCATCTTCTATTTTGAACTGCTGCCATCCCATACGGGCAGCGGTTCGTGTCCCAGCTGCTCCACTTCCCATCCAGCTCCCTTGTATGGCCTGGGAAAGCAGCAGAGGACGGCCAAAAGCCTTGGGATCCTATAACCACGTGCGAAACAAGCAAGAACCTTCTGGCTTCGGATGGGCTCCTCTCAGGCCCTTGCAACCACTTGGGCCGTGAACGCGGATGGAGGATCTTTCTCTGTAAATGTGCCTTTCCAATAATGTATATATATTTGACACACCTATAATACAATAACATACATATATAGGATTATATTTACTTGTCACATGCCACCCTCCCCTGCGGTCCCTTCCTCCAACCTTGTCATAGTAGGCCGTCCATTGTCGTCAATAATAATAATAATAATAATAATAGTAAATTAAAATCCTGTGCTCTGTTTTCGGTTTCCTGGATGCCCGATCTCAGGCCAACCACTGAGCCCACCGAACCCGCGTTTGCCCTTCGGTGAAGTGCAAAACCCCTCCGTGAGTGCAGACTGTCCGTGTCGACTCCCCGTGTCCCCGAGCCTCCTCTCTCCGCCCGTCCGCTCGCTCACACCCCAGCCTCTCTCCGCCCGCCTGCCCGCCCGTCCGCCCGCTCACACCCCAGTCCGCCCGCGGCCCTCGCTCCCCCGGGAGAAACAGGCGTGGGAGCCGATCCTCCAGCTCGCTCCCTCTCCGCTGCCCCGCGTCCGGCTTCCTTCCTCGTCCGGACGGACGCACTTCCGGCGGACGGAGGCGGGGCGGGCCCCGGCAACGGAAGTGAGCGGTGGGGCTGGCTGACCGGAACGTGCGTGTGGCCGCTGGTTGCAAGCCTTGAAAATGGTGAGTTCCCGGGCGACCCGACTCCGTCTGGGGCGCTCTCGGGACAGTGGCCGGGCGGGAACAGGCCTGGAGGCGCTCAGCCTGAGCCCGGTGTGCTGCAGCGGGTCCGGTCGGCGTGCGCAGGAGGCCCCGGCGGCGGGCGCCATGATTGCCGAGTCACGTCCCTCCGACGCTGGCCTTGCAAGTGACGGGTGGGCTCAGTGCTGTCCCTTCGCCTTTGCTTCGTCGGGCGCGCGCCTTCCCAGCTGCCCCTTTCCCGGGGGTTGGCGCTGAACCCCAAAGCAGCATTGGGTGGGGTGGGGATGGCGCCGCCCACTCCTCTTTGCTGAATGGGGGAAACCTTCCATCTGTCTCCCCCGACACACACACACACACTCTCTCTCTCTCTCTCTCTCTCTCTCTCTCTCTCTCTCTCTCTCTCTCTCTTTCTCTCTTTCGGACCTTGTCTTCCCCTGCTCACCGACCCACAGCAGCAGGTCGCAGTTGTGCACCTCAGTTTTGCCTTACAAGCATCTTTGATGGGAGAATCGGAGTTGCTGCTGCCCTTTGGCCAGTTTCCTCCCCAGCTCCGTCCTGCTGCTCCACCCTCCTCTTTCATCACCGTGACCAATGACTTGACATGGAAACCCGGCCACAGGGCCGTCCAAATCCCAAACGCCTTGTTGGGAAATAACTGCTATTCCTTGTAAAGGGGTGATGAGGTCTTCATAGGTTTCCTTTCTCATGCTGCCCGGTGGGAGCATTAGATACGAGTCCTGATGCTGTGCGGAAGGAAATTAGCAACAGGACAGTGACAGCGGGACCCAGGGATGGGAAATGCCCCCTTTGCTTTGCGCCTAGACCGAACTCCTATTGCTCTACGATGAAGCGTGCAGGCACCGTCATTGCAGATGCTCGTGGAGGACAGTGATAAGAGGGGGGATGCTTGGAAGCTTCGCTCCTCCTGCAGTGGTTCTTTTGTGATGCCGGAACACCTTTCTTTTCCCATCAGCATTTCCTGGATGGAGGGGAGTTGGAACCTATCCTATCGGCTCTTGAATTGTGGGTTTACCATCCGGGACTTTATCCTGCAGACGTTGATAACTGAATGAACAATTGTAGAGTGGTTTTAGTGTAAAAGATGTTGCACTTTAAAAACCCTGCTCTGCACACCTGGAAAATGAGTGGGTGTGAGATGGTGGGACCTCATGGCATGGTATTGAAATTATTTTATTGTTAAGAGCCTGGGCCAGATAAAGTATTTGACCAAATAGCACATAAGAGGGAATTGGAAATGAGTTAAAAAGCTGGTTTCCTCGTTTTCCAGCTGATGTAAGATTCAGCAACAGAGTGCCTGCTAGTTCTTTTATGTTTTTCTGCAGAATGGCGGGGTTATTGATACGTGAGAAATCTGTGATTTAAGATCAGCACCCTGTGATGTGCCTCTGTCCTGCTCCGTTGTACTTGTTTGATGTTTCATTAGTGTAAGCTGGTGGGAGATGGACAGGCTCGTGACACCTGGCAGGGTACTTCTACGTAAGAGGTGTCTGAATGCTCGGTCACTGCCGGCTGCCTGGGACTGCTGTGTAGGGAGCTGATCCACCCATCAGTGCAATTCACTGAGTATTTCACTTTTTAATGGCTTTACACTGCCCTGATTAGATTAAATGCATTTTTTAAAAAGAGTTAGTGCCCACGTCTTGTAGAAACCACAGAATTTCTGAAATTCCGTTTGCTTCTCTGACCTCACTTTTCTAGCTGTCTGGCTGTGGTCATTCCCATCATCTTTGTCCTTAAGGAATGACATTCCTCAGGATTGTGTGCTGCACTTTTTCCCTCTGTGTTGCACATTCCGATCTCAGGGAGAGTTCTTTGCAGTGAAAGCAAATTGGATCCTGGCAGAACCCTTCTGAGAACAGGACCCACATTTCTCTGCATGGTGGCCTCCCTGCTTTCCATGTTGTCAGCTCCTGTTTGTGCCTCGCTTTTCCCTGTGTTTGATCAGTTGTTTCGGATTACGCGTAGCTTGTTAAGTTTCACAGCTGACCCTCTATGTCCCCAGGCTCTGCCTCCTCAAGTTGAGCTAACCCTGGACCAAAATCATAGGGGAAAAAAATGTATCTGAACTCAGTATGTACAATATATGATATCCTTATGCTGTAGACAATTGTGTAACAGCTGTTTATGTTGTACTGGATGTTCGAAGTGATCTAGAGATGACTTTAAGGAGTGGAGGAGGATGTTGTATCTCTTCCTGTAAGAGGTTTGAGCATCTATAGATGCTTGTGTCAGGGGACTCCAGGAAACCATAGCCATGGATACTAAGGGAAGGCCAAGATTTTCACACCTGGATGCGTGTTGGTTTTCTCTTGGGATGTCTGAGTTTGGCAGCATGCAGGGATCAGCTCACAAGTCCCTCCCACTCCAAAATATGGTCCTTGTACTACACGTGTCCATCAGCCATGAGGCCCAAGGCTGGTCATTACAGGTCTATATCTTGGGCTGTCTCAGGGTAGAGACTGTGTCTTTTTTTTTCTGCTGCTTAAAAAGTGCTTTTTCTCTATGGGTATTCAGGGTGTGTTGCTTAAACTCTTCCTTGTATATAACAGTATTTTTTCCTGTGTTGCAGAATGCCCGGGGCCTTGGCTCTCAGCTGAAGGACAGCATTCCAGTTACTGAGCTGTCAGCGAGTGCGCCTTTCGAAAGTCATGATCTTCTGCGGAAAGGGTGTGTGGAGAAGTTGTGGCTTCAGCTTTGTTAAAATAAGACTGTGTCTGTAAAGTATTTTTTTTTTTTTTTTGCAGTATTCTTTAACAATTGCTGGGCTGTAGAAACGTATTTAGTTTAGGAGGTAGTATTAAATGGTGTGGGCAAGGGAGGTGACTTGGCTGGTCCCTGGGGTGGAAGAAGCTAGTCGTTCTGACACAGGCTCGTGGGCATTTTGACGCACTGTGGCGTGGCGTCCTGGGGCTGCCTCCGCGAAGGTAATACAGAACTGCGTAGTCACTTAAGAATGCCACGCTCCTGCCTTCCCGTTCTGGCCATGCCCTTGATCTGTGCAGTTTTTATCTCTGAATGTTGTGATATTTGATCTCTCTTTAAATGTTTTATTTATTTGTTCATTTTTAGTTTTCCTTGTGTGAAAAATGAACTCTTGCCCAGTCACCCTCTCGAACTATCAGAAAAAAATGTAAGTATATTGCCCATTTTTATGTATGTCCTCTAGTAGAAAAATATTTTATTGGTGCTTTTCTGATGTAATTTTATTTAAAAATTCTGCTGCTAAAGATTGACCATGAAGTACACAAGTTCTTATTTTTCATGTCCTTGTAGGGTAGACTTTCACGTTCTTGGATTGTTACTGAAACTCCGCCCTGTCCGTTCTTTTCTTTTATACATCCTTTTCCTATCCTCTCTGAAGGTTGATCCATCTGTCCATTCCGCTCAGGACAATGTTGACATGCGACACTCAGGTTTTCTGTTATATTTTTCCCTTATTGTCCTTCCTGTAGATCTCCAAGGCTGTTTCTGTAGCCTTGACCTCTTTCTCAGGTCCTGCATCTCAGAGTCCAGAAGCGGGGACTCTCTAGGCACGGTCAGGTACACAGAGAGGACATACCACCCTCGCCAGGGAGCTCTTCCGCTGGGAAACACAGGCGTTTGAGAAGAGGTTTCGTCAGCAGTAGGGAGGACCAGGAGTGGGGCAGCAACCCATGTGTCCGGCTTCTGGAAGGCTTCTTAGAGGAGGGACAGAGGAAGTTTCAGGATAGTATTTACCAAATATGAACTCAGAAGTCACTACTCCCACTCAGGAAATAGCAAATACGGATGATCTAAAGGCAACTTAAAGGTTTTTAAATATGTGTTTAGGACAGGAAGAGGAAGTAGGCCACTATAGAAAAATGGCACAGGGTCACCCAGGTGACAAACCTTGTTTAGGCCATTTTCTGTTTGTTATTTTTGTTGTTCAGGTTTTATTTTTTGCTGTTTTTTGCTTTTTTATATGTACAAAATATAGGCTTGTTTATTTTAAAGATGGAGTTACAGAGAGGGATAGGCAAAGAAAGAATGAAGTCTTTCATAAGCTGTTTCTACTCTCCAAATGGCCGCAGTGGCCAGCGCTGGATCAAGCCAAAGCTGGGAGCCAGGAGCTTCATCTGGGTCTCCTGTGTGGGTGCTGGGATCCAGGGATCTTCTGCTGCTTTCCAAGGTTCATTAGTAGGGAACTGGTTTGAAAGTGGGGCAGCAGGGTATCCTGATGAGATGCCAGCATTTTAAGTGGTAGCTTTACCAGATATACCACAGTGCCAGCCCCTGTTTTTTGCTGCTTTAGCAAAGGGAAATATTTGTATGTAAGAAAGGGTAAAACAGGGCCCAGTGTTGTGACATAGCAAGTAAAGCCTCTACCTGCAATGCCAGAATCCCATTTGGATGCCAGTTTGTATCTCAGCTGCCTGTGTGTGGCCTGGGAGGGCAGTGGAGGATGGCTCAAGCCCTTGGGCCTCTAGAGCCATGTAAGAGAGCAGAGAAAGTGCCTGGCTTTGGGGCGGCCCGACTGCAGCTGTTGCAGCCATTTGGAGAGTGAAGCAGCAGATGGAAGATACCTGTTTCTCTATCCCTCTCTGTAAGTCAGCTTTTCAAATACAAATGAATCTAATTTTTAAAAAAGTACAACAAATGATGTAATTATGAAATTACAATACAAGAAAGATGAGGAAAGTACAACAAATGATGTAATTATGAAATTACAATACAAGAAAGATGAGGAAAGTGTAGGAACTGTGAGTTTGCTTTAAGTGCATTCAGGTTCCAACTCAGACTTGAGAGCATGTGACTGTGAGCATGTATGAGTGTAGAACCATGGCTAATTATCTTTGAAGAAAATGAAAAAAGTATTCTGTGTTTCTAAAAGGGAGCCACCTGAAAGACAGATGTCTGGTGGTCTCGGTCCCAGCAGCGTCCTTAGTGGACTGCGAAGGAGGTGGCTGTGAGTGTTGAGTAGTGATTTCCAGCAGCTGAGTGAGCCGTAGCGCGTTGTCTTAGTTCATTCCCACCTTATCACCAGATGAGTCAGAGTGAGGTGATCTGATCCCTTGAGGATGAGACAGGGGATTATGGGCTGACAGCAATACAGGGTGGGGCACTTGACTGACAGCTGTACTTTGCCATGACCAAGGAATTGCTCATTTACAGAAAGTGTTTTGAAAGGAATCTTGACTACGTGCATCTCGGCTAGCAGGGTGAATAGCAGGAGAGACTTGAGGGCGACCATTAGAATTAGGTGTTCTGGAGGAAAAGGCTGGTAGTTCATTTTGATGAATAATTGAGCTATATTGCTGATGACAAAACAGACCACTAGGCTGGGTGAAATTTTAAGAAAAATATACAAGTGGGGTGTGAAGTTCCACTTTTGGGTTCATGTACAGCAAATTACACCTAGGTAGGTAGGATAAACTTGATTGACTATATGAAACTTCATAATGTTAATTACATTAGCTACTACAAGAGTATTTATTGCAAAATTTGTCTTTGTTAATGTTATACACGGGACTAATCGAGGACTTTCATATTCTCTCCTATGTGTTGGTGTTCAACTTGGAATGTTAGTTCAGTTCTGAGCAGTGTATGCTAAGAGAAGCTGGCAAATCTGAGTGTCACCTACCAGAGTGAATCCTAAAAGCTTCATAGATCTTTTGAGGCTTATTTCTACTGCCTCTGTGTGTGTGTGTGTTTTTAAGTTTATTTATGTATTTGAAAGGCACAATGATAAGGAGAGGGAATGAGAGATTGCTCAAGCTTCCCGTTCACTGGTCTGCTCTTTAAATGACTGCAACAGGCAGGTCTGGACTGAGCCCAAGCGAAGAGCTAGCAGCTCTGTGCAGATCTCCCCTGTGAGTGACAGAGGCCTTCTTTCACTGCCTTTCCCGGTGCATCAGCAAGGAGCTGCTTCAGAAGCAGAAAGCTGAGTACAGGAGACTGCCATAGCAGGTAGCAGCTTAGCTCCTTGTGGCACAGCACTCGCTCGCTCGCTCTCTCCAATAAAGATTTGTTTACTATTTATTTGGAAGGCAGAGTCATAGAGAGACCGAGGTTCTCTAATCTGCTGATTTACTCCCCAAATCATAACGGCCAGGGCTGGGCCAGACTGAAGCCAGGAACCCAGAACTCCATCTGAGTTTCCATCATGGCAGGCAATGCCCCAAGGATTTGGCCATCCTCAGCTGCCTTCCCGGGTGCATTAGTGAGAAGCTGGATTGGAAGCAGAGTAGCCAGGACTCCAAGTGAAACTTCAGTGTCACAAGCAGCAGCTTTACCAGCTGACGGCTCACTCACTGTTGTTTGACATTCGGTGTCACTTACCTGTTTTCAATCCTTTTGTGTGAATTATGTAGTTGAATTACAGAAGCCATGCTTGTTAGTTCAGTAAACTTGGGCAGATTGCTTAAACCTGCTAAAATTGTAGCCTGTTAGTCTATAAAATAAAGTTAGTAGGAGCCTGTTCCTTGACAAACGGCTGGCCTCTAGCAGCTCCCCATGACTGGGAGTTGCAGAGGTGATGGAGGAAAGGTGACCAGTGTCAGTTAAGCCAGGAGCTCCTAACTGGCGGGGCAAGTGGGAAGCAGCGATGTCTGTGGAGACGTTTGTGATTGTCACAGTGGTGTGGCTGGTTGGGTGTTAATTCTGGCCGTGATTAGGTAGATGCCAGTGATGCCCCTGAGCGCAGGACAGCTCTGTTCTCCTCCCTTCCCCACCGTCACTGACGACCAGTAACACGGTGTCCTGTACTCAGTGTCTTTCTCCCTACAGCGTAGCCTCCAGGATGCACTGTTAGATCTGTTTTGTTGTGCTTTGCTATGAAGCCTAGTTTTGTCTGTTCTGTTAGCTTGTGTGTTGATTGCTAATTGTGATTTTATGCTCACATGAAAAGGGGACTGTGTTCATCAAAGTTTATATGAACTGGATTTTCCTTCATAAATTATTTTTTATGTGAGAATAACAATATTCCAAGAAAATCCTTCACTTAGAAATGGAGATCATACATCTGCTTAAGAAAATGGCAAATCTTTCCATCGGGCAGTTTGTCATTATCTTGCTCTGTCAAGCTAAAGTAATGACAAATCCTGTTACTAGGCACTTGACTTGCAAGCCTCGTATCTGTGGGCCCTAGTCGTGTCCCACAGATGCACTGAGAAGATGGTATAATAAAAATCACAGAAAGCCCTTTTACTTCTTGACCTCATCATAATTACCTTAGCTTGACTGATTGTATCATAGTCACCACCATGTAAGACATTTTGGGACAGTGTTAAAATGATTTATTTTGCCTGAAGTGTGTAGATGATAATTAAGATTTCTTAAATATGATATCAGCGCTTGGTAAAAATAGGACAACTTGCCGATTAGTGCCCACTACAAATTGATTTCCCAGAGCATCGGAGTTCTCCCCACCACCCAGTTAATCCCTGCCACCCCCAAAAGCTAAACATTGTAGTTTAATTTACAGAATGGTATGCTGGTCTGGGTATTTCTTTCCAGAGTTTTTTGAGATGCAAACTTTCATATTCTAATTCACTTTTTTTAATCCTGCATGTAACATTTTTTATATTCCAAATAATAATTTTTCTGTTTTACAGTAGTAATCAGAAGTACTAAAATAAGAATATGCCTTGTAAATACACAATTGTATAAGAATATGCCTTGTAAATACACAATTGTAACAGGAATTAAGTGCATAGTTAGTATAATAAATATGAGATTTAATCATTTTGCCCTGATAAGCTGCACTGTTACCTGTGGTTACTATGTGTACATGTGTTCTGAGATGTTGTGAAGTGTGTCAAGCTGTGTTATTGATGTCACAGTCCCGTTTACGCACGTCACTGCCAGCTGTTGGCAGCTGCATCCTGAGTGCAGCGTTAGTTAGATTGTCATTTGTAGTTCCAGCTCAACCAAGATAAGATGAATTTTTCCACACTGAGAAACATCCAGGGTCTGTTTGCTCCGCTCAAGCTGCAGATGGAGTTCAAGGCAGTGCGGCAGGTGAGTGTGGCTCTCGGGGAGGGGTGTTTTAGCATGTGTTATCAGTCATGAGTTTGTAGCAGCTGTTCAAAGCTTACCTATACTCCCCTGCAGCCTGTTTACTTTTCCTCTTTGTTTAAGACGTCACCCTGATTCCTACTTCATAGAGGAAAGCATCATAAAATAGAATACTCGGTCCCGGCGTGGTAGCCTAGTGGCTAGAGTCTTCCCCTTGCACACACCCGGATCCCATATGGGCGCCACTTTTTTTTTCAAGATTTTTTTTCTATACTCTTAAATTGGTTTTCCCTTCATTTTTACTATATTTCATACCCCGCTAAAGTGCTCAAAGTTTTCTGATTATGTTCTTTCTGTTAGACTTTGCACTTTTTTCCTAGTCATATGGATTCCTTTCTCTGACTTAATTAAAATTGGGTCTTTAAATTAATTCTATTAATGCCATTAATCTTATTGACTAAATTCTTCTAAAAACTATTTTGAGTATTTCCTCCCAAGAAAAATGCTCTAAAGAGTATGTAGCATCAAGTCAAAATAACTGGGGACTGAATCTTGACTTCGGCTTCTAGTCTTAAAAATGCCGGTGAGTGAGAGACCTTTATGCACCTCATTTTTCCCCCTTATTTTTCATGTGAAATGGAGAGCGCAGTAAAAACAGCATAACGTTATTCGGAAGAAGAGATGAAATAACACATTTGGCAAAGAATTGTTAAAGACTTTTTAAATTTTCCTGTCTGTTGCTTAGATTTCAGCTGCATGTTGCTCATATTTTGGACCTAAGCTTTTAAAGCCATCTAATCCAAACATCTTGCCATGAGTCCTGAGCATTTTTTCCTACTTGGGTAGTTCTTGCTTGGTGAGATGTGTAACTGTTTCTGCTTCTCCCTGGGTTTTTGTTTGTCTGTTTGTTTGTTTGTTTTTAGCGTGACCGTGAGAGTGTGAACTAGCTCATATCCATTGGTTCATTCTCCAAATGCCTTCAGCAGCTGGGATCAGCCCAGCCAAAGCCGGGAGTCTTCAGCTCAACCTGAGTCTTTGATGTGGGTAACACAAACTCAAGAATGGAGTCATTACCTCTGCCTCCCGGAGTGCTGACAGGACGCTGGAGTCAGGAGCAGAGCCAGGTCCCAACCCCAGGCAGTGCAGGAAGGAATGTGGCATACCAGGCAGTGTCTGAACGGCCCCAGATACCCACACCTCTTACATGCTTTTGATGCCTTCTCTGGGCAGTATGTCTGATATAACCAGCAGCCTGACAGACCCCTTGCTGTCTAGTTTAATTTATAAACTCCTATTTTTCGTTTCTTCCTCTTTTTCTCTTGACTTGTTTTTTTCCCCCACACTATAAAGATTTAAAATTCTATAGGTCAGTGTTTATTGGCAATATATCTTTAGTCTGGATATCATTTTGGAATGACGGCAAAATCTGAGCATAACTGTCCCCTTAGGTTCTGAAGGCATTATTGTTTTTAAAATGCTGGTACTATTTGGTCATTAACCATCTGGTACTCATTTGGTAGTCTTCCTGCAAAATCCCATATTACCTCCATTGACGCCAATTGTAACTTCTGCTCCACTGATAGAACATGGAAACTGAAGATTTGCTTTGGCTGCATTAAAATTGGCTGAGAAACTGCCCTGCGCCACTGATTACATACTTCATACTGTACTTGAATTTTGAGAGGATGGCACTGTTGTTGTATTTCACAGATGATAAAGTAGAGGCTGACATGGGTCAGGAAACTTGCTCATGAGGTCAGAATTTGTTTTATTTATTTATTTAAAGATTTATTTATATTTATTGGAAAGGCAGATGTTCAATGAGGAGAAGAGACAGAGAAGGAAGATCTTCTGTCTGCTGATGATTCACTCCCCAAGTAGTGGCAACAGCTGGCGCTGTGCTGATCCGATGCCTGGAGCCAGGAACTTCTTTCCAGGTCTCCCACACGGGTGCAGGGTCCCAACGTTTTGGGCCATCCTCAATTGCTTTCCCAGGCCACAGGCAGGGAGCTGGATGGGAAGCGGGGCTGCCAGGATTAGAACTGGCACCCATATGGGATCCCGGCGCGTTCAAGGCGAGGACCTTAACCATTATGCCATCGTGCTGGGCCCGAGGTCAGAATTTGACTCCAGCTCAGTCTGCTATGCTAGCCTATGCCTTCTCCCCTGTACTGTACTTAGACAGCGGTCTGTGGTAGAAGTCTTTCCTTGAAAATAATATAAAATAGCATACAGTGTGAAGCCGTCTGAGTAGAGCATTCTTATGAGTCAGAATTTCTTTCTTTTAAACATTTATTTTTATTGGAAAGGCAGATTTATGCAGAGAAGGACAGAGAGAAAGATCTTCTATCTGCTGCTTCACTCCTCAAATGGCTATATTGGCCAGAGCTGAGCCGATCTGAAGTCAGGAGTTTCTTCCAGGTTTCCCACATGGGTGCAGAGTCCCTAGTCTTTGGACCATCTTCCAGGGCTTACCCAGGCCGCAAGCAGGGAGCTGGATGGGTAGTGGAGCAGCCGGGACATGAACCAGTGCCCATACAGAATTCCAGTGCTCGCAAGGCGAGGATCTAGCCACTAGGCTGCCACACTGAACCCCTGAGTCAGAATTTCTTGGAAATTCCACCATCCCCTTTGTATCAGAAATGAGATATGGTGTAAGTCTCTGGGATTTTGTATTGTATCATGTGATGTGTTCCGGTGGTTTTCTTAGATAGGAGTAAAGCCTCAGAATATTTGCAAACATATGATTAAGTCAGGAAGAGCTATAGTTTTACTGTGTTGGCATATTTTCACTCAAGTTTTGAGTTTTTTTTTTTATCAAGATTAATTTTATGTTTGTTTGAAAGGCAGAGAAACAGAGATCTTTAACCTGTTCATTAACTTACCAAATGCCCACAATATCGAGATTTGGGCCATTCCAAAGCCAGGGACCAGGAATTCCAACCTGGATTTCCCATCTGGTGATGGGTCTCAGGCACTGGGGGCGAGAGGACGTCTCCTGCTGTGCTCCTAGCTGTTTTAGCAGAGAGCAGCATCCGAGGTGGAGCAGGGGGACCTGGACTGGCACCATGAGAGGGGATACCAGAGTTGTCGTGGTAGCTTAGACCGTGTAGTGCTGGTCCATAAGGGATTTTTAAAAACTTTCTGTGTAAAATATGAGCTGTTCTTTCTCTCCACTAGATAAATTGATATTTTACTTAGTTTTGCAATTACAGAATGAAGAATATGAAATTAGATTATATTGGCTCTTGGGTTATGGTCTGTAATTTTTCTTAATCTCACTGTTATTCTGAAGGTTCAGCGTCTTCCATTTCTTACGAGCTCAAACCTCTCACTGGATATTTTGAGAGGTAATGATGAGACTATTGGATTTGAAGATATTCTCAATGGTAAGTGTCATTCAGACATTTTTATGGAACTCCTATTATATATGAGGCGTTAATAGCAAACAAAACAAAATCGATGGTTACAGAAAATTGAATGGTGACAGTGATTTTCTTTTCTTTTTGTGGTAAGGAAGTATGTTTTAGGAAATACTTAAATTTCAGTTACTCTCTGTATGTTTATAATGGGATGCAAAAAAGCTTTTGTGTGTGTGTGTGTGAATATCAGACTACAAGTTTGAGAGCCATGGATATAATCCAGTTCTCCCATTTACATACAAGGATTCAAGTTTAAGAGATTCATTGGCTGAGCTGAGATTCTCTTGTGAGTGTTGGCAGGACTGGAGCTGGAGCCTGGATCCTCTGGGGAGTCCGGAGACACTCCTCTGTGTTGAGCGCTGAGAACAGCGTGCATGGCTTTCCGCTCTCAGGTTCCTTCTCTCCACGCAAGACCAGGGAGAGGCGTGAAGTGGGGCAGAGCACAGGTTCTAGGATGACACGGCTTGGGTGCAGTCTTTGCTCCCAAGCATTCTCAGCTTATCCTAATCACCTTACACATGATTCCCAGTTTAAAAGTGAAGATTATTTGTGAAATTAAGATTGTTACCATGTTAATCAAGTAATGGTCATCATGCATTCATGTCCTGAGCCTCGCTGCTGTGGTGGCCTGATAAGATGTTCCTGGGGTGACGTAACAATGGTACTTGTTACAGTATTTGTGCCCTCGGTTTTTTTTTTTTAAGTGATGGAGCAGATAGGATGAAAGATTTCTTTAAAAATAGCTTCCCAAATATAATTTTTATGCTCTTATACATGGCCATGAGTAGAAAAGAATTTTCTATTTTTCATAAAGCACTCAGAATGATTGTATTATGTGTGAGATAAATGACTTTTAAGTAAGAACAATGCATTCAGCATCCTCTATTTCTTTGGGCCTGCGGAAGATAAACAAATACCGTCCTGTCCGTTCTGCCCCTGCGTGTGGTACCCCAGCAGAGCAGGAGAAGGAGAAACCCTACAGGCTTAGGATTAAGTGGTTTTGCTTGGCTGCTGATGTCCGGTAAGGAAATGCCGTGGACACAACAGGAGTCTAGCAGGCCTCCTCTGTGAGAGTCTTCCCTGGGGGAATGTTTTGAGGACAGGAAAACTTGGGATTCCTAAGCTATTACATTGAACTTGGATCTCATATAAAACTAGTCAGTGGGTGTATACTTACATGTAGTTTGTATTAATTCTGAAAATGAATCTTTAAACCTCCGCTTCTGTAATTCAGTGTGAAGAAAGGGAGAGAAGTTTACTGGGCTTTTGTTCAGTCAGGTCCTTCTGCGTCAGGTGCTGATGCAGGGGCCCTGAGTATACAGCAGTGAACGAAACCAACATCTGTGCTCTCCAGTGGGAGGGGCACATGTTTCACAGCTGAAATACCAACACAGTCATCAATTGCAATCAATTCAAGGACTAAAAAGGGTGCTGTTGTGTTAGGAGAGGTGGTTGCCTCTGGGAATACGACGTATAAGGTAGTTGGTGAAGAGCAAATGAGTTAAACTATAAATCAAGGGAGGACTACTTCAGCCAGAAGAAGCAGTGTGTGTTCAGGGTACCCTGAGAACAGCTGAAGAGCTGAAGGCTTGCGGCTCACAAGAGAGCCTGCTGTGGTTTCTTGGGTGCCGGCAGGAGATGTAGGACCCTAGCGCCAAAGGCTCGTTTCTGACTCCCAGGCAGTAGCGGTGGCCGGATGGTCAGCATTTCTGTTGGTTCCCTGAGCCTCACCTCCTACAGGCAGTGGGTCTGGCTTGTTTCTTTCCAGGAGAGGAGCTGAGTTCAGAGCAGCTGAGGCTTTTATGAGAGGCAGGAACCCCAGCCTTGAAGAGAGACCAGAAAGGCAGTAGGAGCCTCTGCAGAGAGCCCCACACGGAAGAACACTGGAACACCTGTTTGATTGGAGTGTTGAGTGGGACGGAGAGTGGAGTAAGATGAAGTCAGATGGCAGAGAACGGATGGCACTTGTGTCTGCCAACAAAACACGTTTGGAGTTTGTTCAGAAAGCGATGGAAAACTGCAGTAGCTTTAAGCAGAAGTGGGATGTGATGCAATTTGATGTTTAAAGAGATTGTTAGCTCTGTAGACATCTCTTTCAGTTCATTCCTTGCATCTCTGATTGATGGGTGTTAGCTGGCAAGACCCCCTGGTAGGTGGATGGTTTTGATCACGCCGGAGCCGCTGTGCTCCGACTTTGGGTGCTTCTCCCTCATGGGAATTGACATCACATGTGTGTGGCTTCACCTCCAAGCTTACATTTTTGTCAGACCATCTTCCTGCCTCATTGTTCAGATCCCACCGTCAGAGAGGCCTTCCTGGACTGTCACCTCACAGCACCTTAATTCTTCCCGTAACACGTCTCTGATGTTTTCCTTGTTTATTATTTGTCCTCCTCAACTTAAATACAAGCTTGTTGAGCGCTGTTGTGTCCTGGGGTCTATTTAGTGCTGGATCCATAGGAAATACTTGAAATTCTTGCTGACCACATTTTCCTTACCAGCTGTGGCCCAGAATACAGTTTAAGTTCATGAGGGTATAATTTGTTAATCTAAACATTGTCTGGAGACAAGTGTGGAAATGATGACATTTTTATCTGTTTGTTGAAGTGCTTGGCCACGTCATTCTACAAGGAAGGGAAGCACACGCGTGGGGTGCTAGCAGAGTTAGTATGGATGTTGTTAATGCTGATAAGGGACTTGTATGAGCTCCACAAATCTTTCTTAGTGATGGGTAAACTAGGGCATCTGAGAGGCTCCAGTCCCCCCTGCCCATCTCCCAGTGAGCTTGGCAGCACACCAGCAGGTTCGTTACTGATGTGGTATTCTGTATTCTGTTGGCAGAAAAACAACATCAGAAAAGGTTTGTGTAGTAAGCGTATACTTAAGTCAGAAGTGTAAAAAATGTTTTTACTAGGATGTTGTAGACACGTAAATAAAACATTTGTAACGTTACAAACTCAGATATTACACTGTCCCATTTCTCTCCCTTATTGTTAGTTACTCTGCCCTTTTACACTTTGTGTCTTCATACAAATGTATGTAGTCAAAAAATATTTGCCGTTGCCTTGTATTTTTTTTTTTAACCACAGTTCATATTGTACTGTTCATACCTTGGGTACATCAGTACCAGGTCTGAGAGATGCTGTTTTTTGTCTTCCTCCCTCGGAAGCACAGGACAGTGTTAACTGTAGGCTAGGATGCACCTTACTGTACTAACAGCTGTGCCACATGACTCTTGTGAGTGCGTATTGAGGGTCCATTGCAGCTGGGCCAGTGCTCCGTGGTCTCAGGAGGTCCCGGCCTCCTCACGGTCACAGAGCGCTGTTGCTCCTGGGGTGGCGGTGTAGAGCAAGTACTCACTCATTGAGTTCATTACATTTTTATTCTGTTTCTGGTTCACTGTTGGAAGGCGTGGGAGAGCCTGTCTTCTTATTAGTATTAGTTTATAAAATGTATTAGTTAAAATCAGACTTTTGACTTTTCTGTGAACAAGAATGTGAACATGTAAAAAATTCCCTTGATTTGGACATATGATCTGTTTTTGCGTGTATATACCAGATCATAAAATTATATATAGTGAAATATTTTTGCAATATATGGAGAGATTGTTCCTAATGTCATCTGTAAAGCTATTAGAAACTTGAAAAAGTTGTTCTTTCTCTCTTTTTTTCTTTGTTAACTGTATTAAGATGTATTTGACATACAATAGAATGCGACATTTGCAGGTAGCAGTTTGGTGAGTTTTAACAAATGTGTTTAACTGTGCCTACGCCCTCACTGCCCCCAGAAAGTTCCCCTGGCCCTTCCCAGTCAGTGTCCACCCTGGCCCCAGGCGGCTGCTGGTCTGTTATCTGGTACTGTGGATTACTTTGGACTGTTCTGGGTTGTCTCGTAAGTAGAGAATCATTTTTGAGAATCTTGAAATGTTTGTTTCTGTTTGTTTTCAGATCCGTCGCAAAGTGAACTAATGGGAGAGCCACACTTGATGGTAGAACACAAACTTGGTTTACTGTAATTCAGTGTGCTGTCCGTGACACCAGAGGGGCTGCATTCCTGTTTGTGTCTGTTGTCTTGCTATAATTTGATGTATACAACATTAAAAATACTGACACTTAAGAATTTTTACCGTAGCTGTCTCTGATCATTTGAAGTTATTTGGGTCTCTGGCTGTGCAACAATTTGAAATACCTAGTCAAAATTATTAAAGTGCATAATTTTTATTAAAGCAACAATCTCCTATTTTTCAAGAGTGGTTGTTCACAAATACTATGAATACTGTAAAACTGTCCATGGGTTCCAGCTCAGCCTAATGTCCAAGTGTTGCATAAAGCTAGTTTTGAACAGCCATTATCACTATTTCAGTCTGCCAACTTTGTAGGGACGTCTTTCATGAAAACATTTGTAATTGATTTCAGTGAGAATACTTAAAATTGGCCATAGTATAAGATACTTAAACTATCCTGTTTCACTATAGACCATTGATATTCATAAAATAATAATTGCTTTGTTGGTGCCATTTTAAAATTATAGCTGTTTTTGATGTTGAAAAGTATGCACCCAGATATTTTAATTTTGGTTTTATCTCTAAAGTGAAAAAAAAAATAGTAGCCAGAAAGTATATATTAATGATTTATTATAAGCAATACTGTTAAAACATTTTTTCTTGCCATTAATTTACATGATACAAAATGCTTAATTAAACAATATTGGGGGCTATTGCTTTGGTTCAGCTGGCTAATTTTCCACCTTCAAGCACCAGCATCCCATAGGCGTGCCAGTTCGTGTGTCAGCTGCACCACTTCCCATCTAGCTCTGTGTTTCTGGCCAGGGAAAGCAGTAGAGGGTGGACCAAAGCCTTGGGACCCTGCACCTGTGTGGGAAACCCAGAAGAAACTCCTGGCTTTTGATCAGCTCAGCTCCAGCCACTTGGGAGTGAACCAGCAGAAAGAAGGTCTTTCTCTTTGTCTCTCCTTCTCTCTGTAAATGTGCCTTTCCCATAAAAAATAAATTAACTTTTTTTTTTTAAGAAAATAGTGGAACCATTTGTATGTAAACTGGATCTGTAAGCAAATTTCGTAACTTAGTTAAAAATAAATTTTCACTGCAGTTGCTCTTTCTATACAGTATTGATGTGCATGGTATGTAAAACAGAAAAGAGTCTTGAAACATTAATGAATGGCTCATCTTCCAATAACTAAAAATGTATGTTTTGACTCAGTTTTGCAAGAAACCTCTTTATTAGGTAAGCTACTGATTGAAATGCTTGACAGTGTCTGGAGACCTTTGCATTACAACTGTGGGAATGGACTGCTACTGGCATCTAGTGGGTAGAAGTGAGGAGTGCAGCCAAGCATCCCGCAATGCACAGGACACAGATTTAAAACTTACAGGTCCTGTACATGTTATATGTCAAACTGTGTCTGCAGTTGGTTTCCTGTGACCAGGAACCATTTCTCTCCTCAGTAATTGAGAAGTTGACAAACCTTAAGGTGAGTCAGGCGATTGATATTTTTTTTTTTTTTTTTTTTTTTTTTTTTTTTTTTTTTTTTAAAGATTTATTTTTATTATTTTTTCATTGGAAAGGCAGATATACAGAGAGGAGAGACAGAGGAAGATCTTCCGTCCGATGACTCACTCCCCAAGTGAGCGCAACGGGCCGATACTATGCCGATCCGAAGCCAGGAGCCTCTTCCGGGTCTCCCACGCGGGTGCAGGTTCCCAAAGCTTTGGGCCGTCCTCTGCTGCTTTCCCAGGCCACAGGCAGGGAGCTGGAAGGGAAGCGGGGCTGCCGGGATTAGAACCGGCGCCCATATGGGATCCCGGGCGGCAAGGTGAGGACCTTTAACCACTTGCGCCACCGCGCCGGGCCCTTGATATTTTTTAATATGTTTGACTCCCTGCTATTGAGATTAGCCTTAATCTTTATCGACATAAGATTTGCGAACCCAATGCGTACTTGACTAATGAGACAGTGTGGAATTACTCAGTGAAAAAGCTGGATGCTTCTAAGCCTTAGCTCTAGCACTGGCGGTATCCCTCCCGAGCAGCAGAGGTTTCTGTGAAGAGGACGGATATGGTTTAAGTGGCAGATCTGTTCAGAAATTGGCAGCCAGTGAAAATACTTGCTTTCTGACAGTCTTGGCTTTTTCTTCTGCCGGGACGTCTTTTTCATCGTTTTGGTTTTATACTAGTGCTTCGCATCCCTGCATGCATAAAAGAAATAGAATATTTTGAAAACAAAAATTGCATGTAAGGGTGTGTGTGAATCTCAGAAATTCTAGTCAGTCTGCAGTGGGTCTGAGAAGTTTGGAACAGTGGCGCGGGACCTTTGAATATGCTTGCTGACTTTGCATTTGTACTAGGGACTGAGGAGCAGCATGAACGCTCAGGTGCGTCTGTGCTGCAAGGTTTGGTAACACTTCATCCCTGCGATCCACGGTGCTTGCTGGCTGCTGGGAAGTTACCAGAGTTCATGGCAAGAGAGGTGGTCACAGGTCCCTCTGAGTTCCCTGGCCAGACACCAGACTTTGCAGTTAGGCATTTTCTTTTCAGATGCTGACTTAGGGTTGCCCTTGACTGTGGTCTGCCGTGAAATACTAATTTAAAAAAAAAAAAAGATTATTTTTTTAAAAGGCATAGTGGCAGGGAGAAGTAGGTTTTTCATCCTGGCTGCCCGCAGTGGCCAAGGCTAGGCCAGCAATTTATTTGGATTGTCATGCTGCCTACTGGGACTCACGCTGGCACTTTGTTACGGATGTTGGTGTTTGAAGTGGTGAGTTAAAAACATCACAACGCCCACCCTGTGAATTTGGAACCATAGAGTTCAGTGGATTCACTACAAGTGCCTCATGCTCTGAATGCTTCACTCCTGACACCAGGTGTCGGGGAGTTTTCAACATACCAAGGAGTTCCCTGGCAGGTGCCAGCAGAGTGCTCTGTAATTGAATTCACCGTGTCTACCTTGAAATCCTACAGATGCCAAGACAGTCCTAGCTTCAGAGCACAAAGCACAGGTTGCGACTTTGTTTCTGACCAGCGGGCTGTAAAGCAGAATTCCCCAGACGCTACTCCTGGAGTGCAGTGATGTGCTAAAGTGCCTCACGGGACTCCAGGGTCCTGCATATTGAAGGACATCCCGCGTGGTCAGATGAACAGCCAGATGGAAGAGATTCAGAGCCAGGCAAGCGGAAAGGGGCTCCGCATGTTCAGCCCAGAAGCTCTAAGTCCCTTAAGTCGAGGCTTCCTTTACAGAGCGAAGGCATGTAGACGTGAGGAAGTAGTCCTTCAGTCCAGAGCCACTGTCCCCTGGAGGATGGGTGGGAAGGACAGTGCAGACTTCTAATCACAGTGACAGTGCTTCAAGTGGGTCAACACGGGCCAGCGTGGCACTGTACGTTAAGCTGCCACATGCAGCCACAGGCTCCTCCATTGGCACATCAGCTAATCCCTGCTGCTTGGCTTCCAGCTCAGCTGCCTGCTGAGGTACTGGGGTAAGCAGTGAAAAATGACGCAAGTGTCTTCGTCTGCCACCTCTGTGAGGGACTGGGGTGGAGTTCAGCTTCCAGAGAAAATCCAGTGAAGGGGTATGGAATTTTTGGTTTTACTGAAATAGCAAATCAAAATGTATTACTTTATAGTTCATATAAATGAAATACATGAAAACACATTGATAACATCAGCAGGGCGCTGGATTTGGAAGGGAAGCAGCCACAACTTGGACTGGCTTCCTTATGGCAGCTGGCACTGCTAGGCTGGTCCCCGATCTCTAAGTTTGTATGCTATACAGTCATTCGTATTTCACAAGGAATCTGCTTAGTCAGATTCTCTTTTATACCATATTCAGATCACCTCCAACCTCTGCATTCAAGGATTAGCAAAATGCAGAAACCACAAGGCTACATCTACTCTCCTGAAAAGAGAACGTCCAAGATGCTTGGCATAATTTTGAGCTTTTAAAAAGTTTTTGAGGCTTGTTTTGTATCCTCTGATGTGATCCTCTGAAGATTCTGCATGCTGATGAAAAAGTGTTTGCATGTTAGCTTAGTGGCTAGAGTCCTCCCTTTGCAAAGGCTGGGATCCCATATGGGCACTGTTGCTGTCCTGGTTGCTCCATTTCCCGTCCAGCTCCCTGCTTGTGGCCTGGGAAAGCAGTGGAGGATGGCACGAAGCGTTGGGATCCTGCACCTATGTGGGAAATCTTGAAGAAGCTCCTGGCTCCTGGCTCTGAGTTGCCTCAGCTCTGGTCATATCTCCTTTTCTGTAAAAGGCAGTTCCAATAAAAATAAATTTAAAAATTTAAAGTGTATTTTGTATCTGTAGGATGAGAAATTCTGTAAATATCAGTTAAATTCATTTGGGTGAGTTCTGGTTTCTTGCTGAGTTTCTGTCTTACCAGTCTGTTCAGTGAGGTTAGTGGGAATGTTAAGGTTCTCCACTATTATTGTATTGTATTTGCTACATGCACAGTGACATACATGGCTGATTTCTTCTCACTGAATGGATCCCTTGACCATTACATGATGTTCATCTTTTTAAAATGTTTTTCACATCAAAGTCTGTGTTATCTGATATTAGAATGGCTACACCAGCTCATTTTTCTTTTCCATTACCTTGGAAGATTCTTTTCCATCTTTTCACTTCCAGCTTCCATATACCCTTGCTAGTGAGATATGCCTCCTGTGGGCAACAAAATAAATGGCTCTCTTTTTTGAGCCAGTCTGCTAATTTATGTCATTTGATGGATCTAAGCAATTTATATTTTGGGATAATACTGACATGTAGTGATTTAGTCCTGTCATTTTGGTAACAGGATTTCATTGTGTGATTTAGGTTTCTTTTGTTGTTTTATTATAATGTTCTCTACATTTGCCTTTGGAATTGGTAGGCGCTATTTTTTTTAAGATGTATTTATTTATTTAAAGATTTATTTATTTTTATTGGAAAGTCAGATATACATAGAGGAGGAGAGACAGAGGAAGGTCTTCCATCCAATGATTCACTCCCCAAGTGACCGCAACGACTGGTGCTGTGCCGATTCAAAGCCAGGAGCCAGGAACTTCCTCCAGGTCTCCCACAGGGGGTGCAGGGGCCCAAGGCTTTGGGCTGTCCTCGACTGCTTT